AAACCTAACAGGGTTTAGGGTTTAGGGTTTATATTCTAGGGTTTAGGGTTTAGGAATTAGGGTTTATATTTTAGGGTTTAGGGTTTAGGGTTTGTATGTGCTTAATACATGAGCTAACCCTAACTATTCTCCTTTAAGATTTCTGGTGTTTGAGGGTTTAGGTTTTAGGGTTTTTCAGGGTTTAGGGTTTTTCAGGGTTTAGGGTTTAGGGTTTAGGGTTTAGGGTTTGTGGTGTATTGCAGTTTCTGGATGCTGCATCAACCTGGGGCCCTTCTTTTTTATTTTGTTTGTCTCCGTCTCCTTCTCTTCTCCGCAAACGAACTTTTTCTTTTTTGGGTGTACACGAACAAATACATACACAGGTTATACATACACTCTGCGGTGTATAGGCAGCTCTTTTTATTATATTTTGCGGTGTATACGCAGCTTTTTTTACTTTCTTTCTACTTTATCTTGGGGTGTATAGGCAGCTCTTTTTACTTTATGATGGGGTGTATAGGCAGCTCTTTTTATTATATTTTGCGGTGTATAGGCAGCTCTTGGGGTGTATAGAAGGGTATCTTCCGTTGTTGTGTTTGTTTTATCTTTTTCATATTTATATTTATATATTTATTTATTAATTTATTATTTATTTATTTATATATTTATTTATTTATATATTTATTTATTTATATATTTATTTATTTATTTAGGTGGTGATTGTAGTACACATAGCTGACCCTAAGAAGACAAGGAAATTCATCTGCCCCCAAACAAAAACAAAAGAAGATATACTCAGCTGTCTTTGTATGTTTGCTGCTGCTGCTGCTGCTGTTGCTGCTGCTGCTGCTGCTGCTGCTGTCGCTGCTGCTGCTGCTGTTGTTGCTGCTGCTGCTGGTGCTGCTGCTGCTGCTGCTGCTGCTGTTGCTGTTGATTTTGCTGCTGCTGTTGTTGTTGCTGCAGTTGTTGCTGCTGTTCTCTGTTGCTGCTGCTGTTGTTTCTGCTGCTGTCTGTTGCTGCTGTTGCTGCTGCTGCTGCTTTTGCTGCTGCTGCTGCTGTTGCTGCTGCTGCTGCTTCTGCTGCTGCTGCTGCTTATTCGATGTGTGTATATTTTATTTTATTTCTTTTTCTGTTGCATCTTTTTTTCTTTTTTTGTTTTCTTTTTTCTCTTTCTTCTGCTGCATCAATATGTCTCCTCTCTCTCTGTCTCTATGCTGC